TATTGAGGGCAACAAAAGCGAAGCAGAGAACAGTGAAAAAACTTTARAAGAAGTTTCTAGAAGGTATATTTGCTTATTTCACAACCTTTTGTTATTTTATTTAACTTAAATTTGGTGTAAATTTATATGGAGATAATTTTTTGTGCAAATCATTTGCATACCTTTAGGCTGTTATGAAATATAATGTAAAATTACATTTGCTTTGCTTAAACACTGCGTGCACTTGGCATGTCAGTATACTTGTGCGCTTGAATAAGTGTTTTGAAATATGTATTGGAAATCTACAATGACATTTTTTTTAATCTTCTACRAAAAAAGTAAAATTCTTTACCAAAATATAAGTTTTTTATAAGCGTGTAAAATGCCTTATAAGTAGTAGTTTAAAATTTTATTTTATTTTTGAAGATTTTAAAGGTAAAATTTCGGAAAAAGCTTCAAATAAAACCGTATATGTACAGCATGATGCTATTATATAAGGCTGTGTCGATGGATCATTATGGATATTACATAATCGGGCGTTTTCTTTTCTATTGTTTATTTGTTTTTATGTAATTCAAAGATTTTAATAATGCTTTTTTTGGGGGATAACTGAATACCAATAGATTGTAAATAACACAGATCATACATCAAAATGTAAACAGCAAATTCATGAGAAAAATAAAAATCTGATTTTGACATTTTAGTTTAAAATACTTCTCTGTAAGAGGAAGCAGACTTCGTAGCGACACAACCTTATATTATATAATTKAACATGACATACATACATATACACTCGTGGCCACGCAAACCTTACCACTATATTCTTAACTTTTTTTTCGGATTTTTTCGTTCGTTCGGGATTTTYTMAAATTYTTTTTTATGCTTTTAGTAAGCGTAGGTAAACTAAATTGTATTACCTAATTATAATTATAGTAATTTCTTACGTTTAATGAGTAAACACAAATTAGCTTTTCTGTGTGGCCGATTTTTTTTTTTGAAAGTGTTTTGTTTTTAATATTTTGATTACTAAAATGTCATTAACTTATTTCTTAATAAAAAATTTCTATACTGCAAAAACTACCGCTATAAAATGTTTGATGGGTAAAGTTTGCGTGGCTACGAGGGTATGCATATACGGCATTTCGAGTGTTATTTTTTCGAATGAATAAGATTTGAATAAGATCATTATTATATAAAAAAAAAAAAAAAAATCTCTGTTATTGCCTAGTAAATAAAATGAAATAGAAATAGTTCGCTGAAAATCATACTCGCAAAATTATCAAAATGCAAAAGAAAAAGCAGTACATCGAATAAGAACACACACTTTTTTAAGTTATCTTCCATAACCCAAAAAAATCTTGTTACATACATATACATACATAAAATACAACAATATTGTAATACATACATACATATGAGATACTAAGTAATAGTAAAAACAAAAGCTAAGCTCTGTTATTAGAAGTCGTAAATAAGC